TCAGTCTCCAGAGTAGCCAGGCATGCACCACAGTGCCTGGCTTTCATTCTCTTGATTTGATGTCTTTTTGTAGGACAAAAGTGCTAAATTTTGATGAAGTCCAACTTATGTAGGTCATGCTTTTGGTATATATGAGTAAGAAATCTTTGCCAAGGCTACAAAGATTTTCTTCCAATGTTTTCTTCTATAAGTTTGATCCTTTGAGGCTTTACATTTTGTCTATGGTCTGTTTTAAATTAAGTTTTATATGTGGTACAAGAAATAGATCACAGTACTTTTTTTTTTAATATTTATTTTTTAGTTGTAGGTGGACACACAATCTTTATTTCATTTCTGTGTGGTGCTGAGGATCGAACCCAGTGCCTCATGTGTGTTAGGCGAGCCTCTACCACTGAGCCACAACCCCAGCCCTGATCACAGTACTTTTTAAAAAATGAACAGAGTTGTTCCAGTTTCATTTGTTGATAACACTGTTCTTTCTTAGTGAATTGCCTTTGTGTCTTTGTCATAAATCAGTTTTCATATGTGTGGGTCTGTTTCTGTGGTTTGTTTTATGTTCCATTGATGTGATATCTGACTTAATGCCTGTACTACACTGTGTTGGGTACTTATACCACAATGTTTTGATAACTGTTCCTTTATAATAAGTCTTCAAAGTTGTTTTGAGTATTCTAGTCCTTTGCACTTCCATATGAATTTTAGAGTCAGTTTATGAGACTTTACAAAAAGGCACGCTGGAATATTATTGGGGTTGCATTGACTCTACAGACCAATTTGGGTAGAATGAATAATAATTTGAATCTGCTGAGACTTGAACACTGTATATCTATAAAAGGTTAGTTTTTTTTAAAGTTTCAAGAATGTTTTATTAATGTTTTCAGTATACAGAACTTGTATATCTTCTGTTAGATTTATCTCTAAGTCTTGTTTTTTGATGCTATTTTTTATGACTTTTTTTTTTTTAGTCGTTAATGGACCTTTTTATTTATCTACCTACCTACCTACCTACCTATCTGTCTATTTATTTATTTTGTATGTGGTGTTGAGAATCAGACCTCACACATGCCAGGCAAGTGCTCTACCACTGAGTCACAAACCCAGCCCCATTTTACAGTAATTTTTTAAATATGTAAATTTCTGGAGAGTTTGTATAAAATTGGTTTTAGTTATTTCTTAAATGTTGGGTAGAATCTTCTAGTTCAGCCATTTAGATCTGGAGTTTTCTTTGTGTAAAGGTTTTTTGGGGGGTTACTGGGGATTGAATTTAGGGGCACTTTACCACTGAGTTACATCCCCATCCTTTTTAAAATTTATTTTGAGATAGGGTCTTGCTAAGTTTCATTTTGTGTTTCTGATCTTAACCTCCTCCAGTGATTCCCCATCTGGCATCTCGCACATACTCTACTTGTTATGCCCTCCTACTCCCTGATATTTCCTAAAGCCTTGCTTTTTCCTGGAATGTTGTTTCTATTATATCAGAAACCATCTCTCTCCTTGGAAAACCCATTCAAATCCCATCTTTTTAAAGGTATATTCCAGAGCCCTATGGTTAGAGGTAGTTTTCTCCTTCCTTCATGTTTTATTTTGAGGATTAGGACCTTGCTAATTTGCTGAGGCTGACCTCAAACTTGTGACCCTTCTGCCTCAGCCTCCCAAATCGCTGGGATTACAGGCATGCTCCACTGCACTAGTCTATAGACTGTTTTTTAAAGGGCTAGAAAGTAAATGTTCTCAACTGTGATGGTCATACAGGCTACTCAACTCTACAGTTGTAGATTGAAAATAGCCACAAACAATACATTTTTCCAGTAAAATTATATTTGGAAACTGTATTTAAGACCTGGGAGTATAGCTCAAGGGTAGAGCCAATAGTAGTGTACCTCCCCCCCCTCCACCCCCCTTACTGGGGATTGAACTCAGGAGCACTCAATCGCTGAGCCACATCCCCAGCTCTATTTTGTATTTTATTTAGAGACAGGGTCTCACTGAGTTGCTAAGTGCCTTGCCCGTTGCTGAGGCTGCCTTGAACTCGTGATCCTCCTGATTTAGCCTCCAGAGCTGCTGGGACTACAGATGTGGGCCACCGCTGGTAGAGCCCATCGTTACAATGTGCAAGGGCCTGGAGTTAACCCCAAACACCAAAAAATAACTAAATAAAAACTATTTAAAAATCAGGTGGGCGTGATCTTCATCATGTCAGATTAGGCCCTTACTTCCCTAACAAGACTCCTAAAGTGCAAGAAATAAAATCAAGAATCAATAAATGGGATGTTTTCAAACTGAAAAGCTTCTTCTTAGCAAAAGAAACAATCAGTGAAGTGAATATAGAGCCTACAGAATGGGAGCAAATTTTTACCACACATACATCAGATACAGCACTAATCTCCAGGATATAAAGAATTCAAAAAACTTAACACTTTAAAAAAAAAAAACTCAATCAATAAATGGGCTAAGGAACTGAATAGCCACTTCTCAGAAGATACACAATCAATCAACAAATATGAAAAAATGTTTAGCATCTCTAGCAGTTAGAGAAATGCAAATCAAAACTATCTAAGATTTTTTCTTACAGCAGTCAGAATGGCAGTTATTAAGAATATGACCAATAAGGGCTGGGGTTGTGGCTCAGAGATAGGGTGCTCATCTAGCATGTGTGAGGCACTGGGTTCAAACCTCAGCACCACATAAAAATAAAATATATTGTGTCCACCTATAATAAAAAATAAATATTTTTCAAAAAAGAATACAAGTATAATAGGTGTTGGCAGGGATGTAGGGGAAAAGGCATATTTCTGGTGGGACTGCAAAGTGGTACAACCAATCTGGAAAGCAGTATGTAGATTCCTTAGAGAACTTGGAATGGAACCACCATTTGACCCAGCTATCCCACTCCTCGGTTTATACCCAAAGGACTTAAAAATAGCATACTACAGTGACAGTGAAGCAGCCACATCAGTGTTTATAGCAGCACAGTTCACAGTGGCTCAATTGTGGAACCAACCTATATGTTAGAATTCTCGTACTTTTAAAGCCTCTACAGTTTCTAATCTTACCTCCTCCAGTGGGATCTCATACATACTCTACTTGTGTTATGCTCTCCTGTTCCCTGATATTTCCTAAAGTGCTGCTTTTTCTTGGAATGCTGTTCCTATTTTATCAGAAACCATCACTTTTCTTAGAAACCCTATTCAAATCCCATTGGTAAGATGTAATCCAGAGCCCCATGGTTAGAAATAGTTTTCTCCTTCCTTCATGTTTGGTATGCAGATTGAATGCTTCATTGGTGACCCACCTTCCTTTGGTCTTTTTTTTTTTTTTTTTTTTTAATTTTTTAGAGCGTACTACAGGGATACTGCCACATCGATGTTCATAGCAGCACAATTCACAATAGCTAGACTGTGGAACCAACCCAGATGCCCTTCAATAGATGAATGGATAAAAAAAATGTGGCATTTATACACCATGGAGTATTACGCAGCACTAAAAAATGACAAAATCATGGAATTTGCAGGGAAATGGATGGCACTAGAGCAGATTATGCTAAGTGAAGCTAGCCAATCCCTAAAAAACAAATGCCAAATGTCTTCTTTGATATAATGAGAGCAACTAAGAACAGAGCAGGGAGGAAGAGCAGGAGGAAAAGATTAACATTTAACAGAGACATGAGGTGGGAGGGAAAGGGAGAGAAAAGGGAAACTGCATGGAAATGGAAGGGAGACCCTCATTGTTATACAAAATTACATATAAGAGGCTGTGAGGGGAATGGGAAAAAAAACAAGGAGAAAAATGAATTACAGTAGATGGGGTAGAGAGAGAAGATGGGAGGGGAGGGGAGGGGGGATAGTAGAGGATAGGAAAGGTAGCAGAATACAACAGTTACTAATATGGCATTATGTAAAAATGTGGATGTGTAACCGATGTGATTCTGCAATCTGTATATGGGGTAAAAAAATTTTTAAAAAAATATTTTTAATTATATTTGGACACATACTTTTGTTTTATTTATTTATTTTTTTATGTGGTGCTGAGGATCAAACCCAGGGCCTCGAATGTGCTAAGTGAGCACTCTACCACTGAACCACAACCCCAGCCCCCTTCCTTTGTTCTTTGTGTGTCTGCCATCTTGACCCAGAATTCCTCAGGAGGTGAATGGTATGTGTCCTCTTATCTGTCTCTCCTATAGTCTAGTGCAAAGCTGTATTAGCTTCATATCAATATAGTGAAATACCTGAGACATCTTTTTTTTTTAAATATTTTTAGCTGTTGATAGACATCTACTTATTTATGTATTTACTTATTTATTTATATGTGGTGCTGAGAATCAAACCCTGTGCCTCACACGTTCTAGGCAAATGCTCTGCTACTAAGCTATAACCCCAGCCTACAACCTGAGATATCTTATGAAGTAAAGAGAAGTTTATTTTGGCTCATTTGGAGGTTAAAATCTAAGACCAGGTAGTCTCACTGAGTCGGGCTTCTGGCGAATTGGAACGTTTTGGCAAGAGCATGTATCAGAGTGAGTGCTAACATTTTGGGCCAGAAAAGTGGGGGAGGGGGATAAACCGGGCTCCATAGCCTGTTTTTGAGAGCAGGTCTCCATTAACCTCAGGACCTCCCACCAGGCCCCACCTCTTGAGGGACTACAGAGCCTACCAATTCTACCACCCTTAGGACCAGGTATTTAACACATGGACCTTTGTGTGGAGTATTCAACATCCAAATGAGAGGAAGCATGAAATTCAGAATATGTGTTTTAAGAAATAAATAACATTTATTGTTTTGTGGGGCATATTCCTCTATCCACTGCTGCAGAGTTGTCATAATTGTTCTTGGCTCCTCCTTTGGGAACATGTATCCAGGCCCTCCTGAGGAGGTAGGTTATAGGAAGCTGCCTGGTTTCTGGCTCACACTGCTAGAGCTCATTGGTGTCAGGGCCTTGCTATTCCAGGTTTTGCTCCTTCTGCCTCTTCTTCAATGGCCTCTTGCGTTTGATTCCACAGAGCTGCGGTGCAACCCTGGGCAGTTTGCCTGTCGCAGTGGTGCCATCCATTGCATCCCTCTCCCCTGGCAATGTGACGGACTGGCAGCTTGTGAGGATGAGAGTGATGAAGCTGACTGTCCAGGTGAGTGTGTCATGCCTGTGGGGTGTACTCAACCTATTCACTTTTTTGTTGTAGCTGAGGTGAGTGTGCCTTCCATGAGGAGCAGAGAGGTGTAGCCTTATAATTGTGCTGTCTTCACATACTGGAAAGGTGATATGAGGTGACTTCTACTTCTGTCTTTCTTTCTGTGTGTCTTTCTTTAAAAAAAAAAAATTAACTATTTTACCTGGATCTCAGAACTTGCAAGATGGCAGGGCTGGGGCTTTGAGGAGGCAAGGTGAGGTGTTGCCAGCCCTGGACTCACAACCTTGAGAGTGGACCTGTCCTGTAGGTACCTCTTGAGACTTGGGTAGAGTTCTCATGAATGTACTATTGTAGATTGACTTTGGCATTACCTACTCTTCTTGCCCACACATTCTCTAGTAACCTGGCACTTGTGGGTTTTCTCATGTCAATGTGTGAGTTCCTAAAGGTATATCCTAAAAATGTTTGGAGAGGCCACAAAAAAGTCTTAAATTGTTGGTTTTCCGCTTGGTTTCAGTTCCAGTACCCTTGAGGAATATAAGGAACCCTGTGAGTAACTGTGTTCGCTTCAACCATGATTCTTAATTTGGGTTAGTATGAAAGGGGTAATTACATCTTGTGCACACATGGACCTGAGTGAATGTATGATGCATGCACCTTCAGGCACACTAATTCAAGACCCTGAGTAGTTCCAATTAAGCCTTTAACAGGAAAAAAAAAAAAGTCTTCCCTCAACTCGAGAATCACAGGCCTGAACTCTTTGGCCCAACATTTAAATTCTTTTACTATCTGTCATAATTTTTCTTTGTCAACCTGATTTATTGCTATTTTCCCTTTTGTTGCTCAGCTGAAGTATTTTTTTTATACTTACCCTATTAATAATTTCCTAGCTGCATGCTTCTTATATTTCCTTCTCTTTTCCTGGAACCTTGTACTGTTTATTCTTTGGGTAAATCCTGCTATCCTTTAAGGCTTGGCTCAGATGCTACCATGGTGAGACGACATATCTGGCTATGGATCTATATCCATCAGCACCTGATCTGTCCTCTTCTCACAACATCTAGAGCCATTGTTAATTCTCACCATTCCTGGAGCCCATGCTTGATCTCTTCTTCCAGACTATGAGCTCCTGAGTCCAGGAAATCTTTTCCTCAGTGGGATCTGGCATAGGACATGAAAGATGGACTATAATTCCTAAAGGGGCAACAGGGAGGGCATCTAATAGAAGGTAACAAGTGAGGTTGGCACAGTTCTTTGAGGGGATTCCAAAATAAGAAGCAGAACTGGGTGTGATCATGCATATCTATAATTCCAGTTACTTACTTGGGAGGCTGAGGCAGGAGTTTGCATGAGCCCAGGAGTTTGGGATCAGCCTGGGAAGGAAGGAAAGATGGAAGGAAGGAAGTGAGGGAGCTAGGGAGGGGAGATAGTTTTTTTGGGCTATATTGAATGTAGTTTAGAGGGGATACCCCCCCCCCCCGCCCATTATCCCTTGAGCCTGTCTTCCTTCATTGGATCATAGATATCTCTGGTAGAGGTGTTTGTCTCTCTGAAGGAGAGTTTGAATGGTGGTGGCCTGAGCCTCTGGGACCAGCCCTGTGTTGGAAGCCCATCCAATCGTTCCCTTGCGTCAAACCCTAGGGAGAGTGGAATTCCAAAGGACTGTGCTCACTTAATAGAAAATCATACATCAGTGATGGATGAATCTTGAAAATATAGAATATAGGTGACAAACGCAAGTAGCCAAAAACTACAATGAAGATAAGCAAAATGGATCATCCTTTATTTACTTTAGTTTACAAAGTAACTAAAATTAAAAAAAAATAAATTATACAAAAATTAAAAAATAAAGTATACAATAATATATAGAATTCTGGCTCCTTCTTCCTTTTGGGGAAACAGAGTTGAGACTGAGAGAAGCAAGCATGTAAGTTCAACACTACAGATGATATTTGCGTTCCTAAGTAAGGATGTGGGGAGATGGTTCACAACTATACTTTATTATGAGGTTTATATCTTTAGTGTTTCTTGTTTTTTTGTTGTTTTTTCTTTTTTCCTCTTTTTTATTATTTTTATTTGTAGATGAACACAATACTTTTATTTTATTTATTTATTTTTATGTGGTGCTGAGGATCAAACCCAGTGCCTCACACATGGTAGGCAAGTGCGCTACCACTGAGCTACGACCCCAGCCCCAGTTGTTGTTGTTTTTTCAATGGAGTCTTGCCAGGTTGCCTAGTCTGGTTCCAAACCTGGGCTCAAGTGATTTTCCTGCCTCAGTCTCCTAAGTGCTAGGACTATAGGCATGTGCCATTGGGTTGGGTTTTTTAACAGAAAAACCAACAGAAGGAGAGTGATAACTGACATAGCAGAGCAGAGCAAGTGCAGCATGGGGCTGCTAAGGAGAAAGAACAGTAGGAAATGAACCAGTTTGCCTGCTAGTACCCTGAAAGGCTCTTGAATACTGAGGTGATGGGCATCTGGCAGGGATGGAATCAGAATTCTCTCTGATTATTCTATACTCCTTACCACTCTATATGCTGGGTGACTCTTCCTACCAGGAGATATGAGGCTTATTTTTGAGACCTGTGCTATCCAGTGGTAGTCATGAGTCTCACATGGTTGCTAAGCACCTGAAATGTGGCTGTTTCTAATGAAGATATGCTGCAGATATAACCTATAGGCCAAATAGCAAAGATTTTGTGAATACCACTTTATAGTGATGAGATATTGGAATGATAGTATTTGAATATATTGGGTCATGGTACTAAAATTAATCTATTTCTTGACAAAATATGGCTTACATTAAATAGCACATAGCACATGGACTTAAAGTCTGCAAAATAGGAGACACCATGTATCTCAAAGGGGGAGTTGTGGAGGAATTGAGAGATACTTTCTGTGGTGACAGGTAGGACACTCAGCCCTATCTTCTGCTTTGGTTCAGATGCCATCAGCTTGGTCTGTGTCCCAGGTAACTAATTGGAGGAGCCTTTCCTGGAGACACTGGCATTTTATAGAAGAAGAATTACAATAGAAGGAGAATTACAATAACATATGTTTCCAACCAAAAAAGCTATGGTTCCTACCATGAGGCTTTCCTGAACCAGTACCAAAACCTAATAAGCTAGTGCTCACAGAGTTTGTGGCTGGCTAGACTGCAGCCCACCCCCACCCCCACCCCCCTGTAGTATTAGTTGAATACAGGGCCTCACACTGGTAGGCAAGTGTTCTACCTCTGAAGTACATTGCCTGCCCTTGTTATTGTATTTTGAGACAGGGTCTCACCTAGACTGGCCTATAACTTGTGAACCTCCTGCTTCAGCCTCCTGAGTAGTTGGGATTACAAGTATACCACCACACCCAGTGATCTCCTTCCTCATAAACATAGAAAACAGTGAGTTCTTTCCAGACTCTGTGGAAGAAAAATCTATCATGGATGTTCAGCAGACTCTGGACACAGAATCCTAGACCAGAAGGGTCAAGAGTTACAGAGTAACCTGAAGTAGCAGTGTATGAAACCGTGGTTAAATGTGGGGGCTTAGTAGCAGGCCCTAGGGTTGACAACCCTACCTATTACCACTTAACTGGCTGTGGACAAGTAGCCTCTGTAAAATGGGGAAAAGAGTAGTACCTACATTTAAGAGTTGTGAGAATTAAATAACATATGTTTCATATCAAGTGCTTAGGGAAAAAGAGCACACAATAATCTCAATATTAGCAGTTACTTTAGTAATCTGGGGAGTAAAAGGAAAGTTTAAAAATATATTCTATCATCAGCAAAATTGCCTAGGAAGCTTCTAAACCCCTATTTCACCACATAAATATTAGAAAACAACTAGAGATTGGGGGAAATAACTTTATAGAAACTCTGGGCAAATAGTCAAAGGTCTACACCAACTAGAAAAAGCCACATTCGGGCTGGGATAGTGGCTCAGCAGTAGAGCGCTTGCCTAGCACATGTAAAGACACTGGATTTGATCCTCTGCACCACATAAAAGTAAATAAATAAAAATATTAAGGTAATGTGTCCATTTACAACTATATATATATATATATATATATATATATATATATATATATATATATAAAGAAAAGAAAAAGCCACATATTAAAATAGCAGATTTTTGTGGAATTTTTACTTTCTTCTCCCCCTCCATGTGGCATAACTTGGTCTGAGGGAAACAATGGCCAAATTTTCAGTCTTACTGCAACATTCTAATTTCTGGGAACTGCCTGAGGGATTGATCTCTGTTTGGCCTGACTTGGAGCTCAGATGAGGAAGTAACGTAAGTCTGAGAGAACTGTGGAAAGCAGCAGACAATGTTTGTGAAAGCTGCGGTGGGGCCTATAGACCTGCAGATGCCTGGAACGAGGTGCTTAAGTGTGAGGAATACAGTAGAGTGTCTTAAGATCCTAGGGAGCACTGAAGGTAACACTCTGGGAAACAGAAGTAGACTTTGGGAATCAAGAAAAACTCACAGGCAAGATGTATTCACAGAAAAAAAAAAAAAAAGCCTAAGAAGACCTTAAAATCATTGCCTTTAGTTAGTCCCAAGGCTCAGACCAAGCCCTGCTAATAACTCACGGTCTTTTCCAGCACAAAGCTAAATCTGCAAAGACTGGGAGATGTCTGATTTTTCAATAACAATAACACAACAACTATAAAAATTAAAAGGTCAGAACAGAGTAATAGAGAAAGAGGAAAACACGGCCATTTAAAGTAAGAAAATAAAGGGAATAAACCTGAAGAAAATTTTTAGACAATAAAACAATAAAGACTTTGAAACCACATCTTAGCTAGGGACAGTGTTTTATGCTTATAATCCCAGCTGTTCAAGAGACTGAGGCAGGAGGATTGTGAGTTTTAAGACCAATCTGGGCAACATTGTGAGACTCTATCCCCCCCCCCCCAAAAAAAAAAAAAATTAAATATGCTTGAAAAGCTAGAGAAAGGCCTAGGGTTATATATAGCTCAGTGGTAGAACACTTACCCA